TTTTTTTTTTTTTTTTCTCTTCCCTACAGGATGGGTTAAACAGTCACTCTGAGCACTTTTTGGATTCATTGGATCCGGCCCAAATCCACGGAACAAACATTTTGCTGCCTCAAGAGCCCTGAGGATCTATAATCTGTGGCTCTTTTCACTACCCTGGCAGCCATTTCAAGTCAGGACATGTTTGATGGGTTTTTTCGGGGGAGAACACGTTTTCATTCAAGAGATGTTACAGCAAAATTTGAGCAAGGTCTGCGGTGGACTGTGTCCGAAGGCAACAAAGTAGTGGTTTAGTGTTGCTCCCATCCCCATTTTAATCTGAACGGTGAATCTCCCCCTTCTCCTCCTAATACTCCCCGATCCTCGCTGCTATGAGGGAACAGCTACTTGTTCTGGTTCTGTGCTCATCACCCAACAGGTGAGCTCGGTCCGGGCAAGCACAGCCCCACTTCGGGCTTCAGAATTAATTTCTGTGGCCATGGGGCGAGCGAAGGGGGATGCTGCGGGTACAAACCCCATCACCACAACCCCAGGCATCCCGCTCAGGCCCCCACTAGCACCCACAGCTCCCAGCATCTCCCCAGCGTTGCACTGGCTGCCGCAGCTTTTGCTCGGTCCTGGGTTATTTATCTCGATGCAAACTCGGCCGGGACTGGGGCTGTTTGGGTGTCAGAGAGTCCAGAAATGGGGCTGAGACATTCTCATTGATTTTTTTGCTACCGGTTTATTAAATTTGAGAAGGTCCAGGCAGGGATGCTCTGGTGCAGTGCAGAGAATGGCTAGATGCTGGATAAAAGCACAGTCTCTGCTCCTTAGGAAGTGATCTTTCCCTGCAGGGCTGCTTTTTAACTGCTACAAGTCAAAACTTAGCGGGCCTAGCAGTGGCATTTTTTTTTTTCCCTTAAAAAAAAGCAGTTTCCTATGTATTTTTACTGACAAAAGCCTGAAGCTTCCTTTATATGCTTTATTTTCTTTCTCCTCTGAAACGATCATTAGACAAAAGCAGTTTTGCTGCTGGTTAATCAAGAGAGTGATGTGGCCCTGCATTTTAATCCTAAACCAATTAGCAGGATTTGACATCATGCCATTAGACTGCTTGAAACAAAAATCAAGGACAGCGTAATGCAGCTAGAAAAGAACAATAACCGTCAGTGCTGCCCTGTCAAAGGGGAAGGAAGAAATTTGGCTGTGTGTGTAATTTCCAAGCAATCCCCCTTCCCTCAAACCTGAGCATTCAAATGAGGGAGCTAAATAATAATGAGAGGGGAAAACGTTGAATCTCTAATCACATTACTCTAAACTGCCCTGGTTTTTAAAAGTAGAAATCGCTATTCTTGCTCCTCAGCCGACAATCAGCTGGCATTTTCAAATCCTGAGTTCTGTTTTAGGATTTCTGTCGCGGGTGTTTCGTGCTTTGCTTTGCAGGCAGGTTGCACACACTCCGGGAGCGGCAGCATCTCCGCTGCAGATGTACAGCGAGGGACCCTGGTGGGAACACCCCAGCAGCCCTAAGAAACAACTTCCCAGGCACGTAAATATTTCTTTGTCCAAACCACCCAAAGAGAATTAACGGACGAAGCACCTTTTCGCAACTGTACTTTTGGGCGGCAGAAATTCACCTTACGGCTGATCCCGCAGCGGCGGTGCAGCCCGAGCCGGTGGCAGGGGCTGGAGCCAGGCTGGCAGGCGTTATCCCAGTCACGGCTGCTGCCTGCAGGCAGAAATAAGCCTGGCGAAGATGTGTGATGAGAACAAAAACGCAGGCAGGCCCCGGGGTGCGGTATTTGAGGGATGAATGCCTAAAGCACATCGGGGACTCCGCGCCTTGCCGTGCTCTCGAGGCTGGCAGCGGAGAGCTGGAGCAGGCGTGAAACCCAGCGTCTCATAAAGCAGCATATGGACAGAGCACAAATGGATGGGGTTTTATGTCCTGTGCAATATTTTCATTGATATTTATTTTGATTTAATTTGGCTAATGTGCAGGAAAAAATGAAAACGCGCCGTGCTCCTCAACATCTGATGAGGAGCTGAACGCTTTTTAAAATTAGTATTCCCACATAGGCAGCGATCCTTAGGGTCTGCCCAGCAACTGTGCTGGAGAATCATGAGTCACTCCATGTAAATCACAGGATGACCCTCAGAGCACCGGATTTTTTAAAAAATGTTGAATTGTTTCTGTTAACATTATAGTTTCTAGTCTTTCTGCTTCAGCCTTATGTCCATAACTTAATTCTCCTTTTAATCAAAGTACAGTCTCCCACACTCTCAAACCTTCTCAAAGAGAGGAAGTTTAAAATAAAATTAATAAAATGTAATGAGAGTCATGGTAAAATGGTGAAAGATAGCAATAGTCCTTATCCCTGCTTTGAGAGAAGAGAGGCTGAAGCAGAGCCAGGGAGGACAGGAGCGATGATCACTAACTGTGGTATGAGGTTGGAGACTGGGGTGCAAATCTCCACCAAAGACTTCCAGGGCTAACGTGGGCAAGTCACGTAAATCTTCCTCTCTCATAGCTGCCACCTGCAATATGGGATAAAAAGTTGTCATTTCCTCCACAGGGATCTGTAGAAATAAATGTCTTAAAAGTGGTGAGGGGCGGCAGTGATGGCAGGGCCATGCGCAGGCTGGAGAGGAACAAAAGTAATTCCCCAAAGATGTTAACGACAGATAAATCCTCTGCCTTCCTGCTGAAGCAGCGCTCCCAAAGCTTAATAAATCTCGATTTGGGGAGGGAAATAAAACTGTGAGAGGAAGTCAGGGTGGGTAAGATGAGCAGGGGCTGAGGAGTACCTTGGGGCATCCAACCCAAACCCCCCCTTTGCCCCACAGGGCATCCCTCCAGGGCTGCCTCCTGCTGCAAAACCGGGATTTTAATATCCTAGTTCCCTCGCCTGCTAAAAAAGGAACAAAAAGTGCATTTGCCTCCTCAAGGGTGTTGTGAGACAAAGTTGGTAAGTGTTGAAAAGAAACCCAAACTGCAGGAGAAAGCTGGCTTTGTTGCCTTCGGACACAGTCCACCGCAGACCTTGCTCAAATTTTGCTGTAACATCTCTTGAATGAAAACGTGTTCTCCCCCGAAAAAACCCATCAAACATGTCCTGACTTGAAATGGCTGCCAGGGTAGTGAAAAGAGCCACAGATTATAGATCCTCAGGGCTCTTGAGGCAGCAAAATGTTTGTTCCGTGGATTTGGGCCGGATCCAATGAATCCAAAAAGTGCTCAGAGTGACTGTGTTGGTCAGTGGCTGTAGATGTTTTAGAAAAAAAATAAAAAAAGCAGCTAGACAAACAAACAAAAAAAAATCAAAACAGGAAACAACAGCAAGAAAACCCCTTTATATTAAAATAATAATAATATTGAGACACTGGCCAGGAAAAAGGAAATTCAGAAGGTCAAAGGCTAAACCACAACTTGAATCTTAAACTGAACTGGAAAGAAAAGGAAAGAAAATTAAATTCAATTGGTCAGACCTTGTAAACTGGGCTTGGGGCTTAAAAAAGGAAAGTGGCTCCAAGGAGAACAGCAGCACCAAACTTGTGAATCTTCAGAGTTGGCAAGGGCGTCTGAAGACATCGTGCAAAAAGGTAAGGTTTGGTATAAAACTGATTACTGATTCCATATTTCTTGTACCCTGTATCTCACCAAGATCTACAAAAGTAAAAGCCATATTTGCATTTTTTAAACTTTTATTGATATCACAATGTACGTTTTGTGATCACATCTGGAGGAAAATAGCAATTTTTTAAATGGAAATATTTTATTTAAAAGTTGTTCTAATCTAGAAAAAAATCTGAGAACACTAAAAAAAAAAAAACCAAAACATTTCTCTAAACCAAAACTAGGATAAAATTATCACAGAAGGAAGCAGAGTAAGGAGTGTAGCCACAGTCTGATATAACTGAAGAATCAAATACTGAAAATAATGAAAGAAATGGCAGCTTTAATAGAATGGTAGTTTTCTGCTTTATTCCCAGCAAGCAAATATATCAGTCACTGTCTGAGATAGTAATAGGATGCATAAAAAAACCACTGCAACTGCTTGGTGGTTTCCGGGTGCATATTATATACATATACAGACAGAGGTTTTATCCTTAGTGAAAAACAAGACTCGCCTCTTTGAGATCTTCAGTTTTGCTTGTTTAATTCCTAGCCTCAGAAAACAACCCTTTAATTAAAAAATATTTGTCCATTTTTGTTTTTCAGCTCCAAAGTCTTAGACTTGCGTTAACTTGACGTGCATCCATCTTAATTCGAGCTGATCCATTTCAATCTTGGCAGCATATTGATAGCAAACAGGAATGGAGCATCATTCGGCAAACTCTGCCATACCAACAAAACCAGGGACAAACCAGAAAACCTGGGGTCTTCTCCTGGCATCACTTCCTGGGCTGCAGCTCAGTCTTTGTATGTATACGATTTTATTTTATTTTTTTATAGCCAAGCAGTTATCATCATAATTGTACTTGTAATTTCAAGGGTGCATTATCATACTAATGGATGATGAGTGCTCAACAGTCACAAGAAACATTAATTAAAAAAGAAGTTCTCCTGTCCTAGCAGGGAGAGTGTTCCCTAATCCCCATTATGGAAATTGGTTAAGCCAAGAGAATATTTCCTTTATAGTTTCAGCTCTTCAGAAAGCCTTTGATGTCCTAAGCCAAAGCAACTACCCATCAGGAACTGAGAGATGTACTTTGGTCCCCCATGCCAGCTTCTTACTTATGTCTGTCCTTTAATTTCCCCCATAATATGGGGGAAAGTCTTAGCCAACATCTTCATTTTCATTCATTAGTGAAATCGTGGTAATAATACCACTTTGCACTTAGCTCTCTCCTAGGCACTTTGGAGGTGTCTGTCACTATGGTGTGTATATATATGGAGAGCCCTCCATCCAAAAATGACCAGTCAGTAAAGTTTCTGAATATAAAAAAGGTCAAAGCTCTACAGAACTCCATTATTATCACTTAAAACTCTGCAAAAGCATTAAAATTATGAGTGTCGGAAAAGTGTAAAATGTAGCTGACTGCCTTGATATCTCTGGGGCTGCTGGTGAGCTCTGCTCTCCATCTCTGCCCTGGGCTAAGCAGTCGTTCTTCTCACTCGGTCTTGCTTTTTCTTCCCTCAGATAGGAGGTCATTTTGTGCTGTGCCAGAAGGTTCTCTGCGCGTCCACTATTACACTGTCCTTCACAGCTTTAATCTTCATAGGTAAGCTGCATCCCTAAATAGTTGGAAAGGCAATAAAATAAGCACACGAAAAAATTACCGCAGCTTCTATGTTCTAGAAGGGGGGGAAAAAAAATGTCCTGAAAAGCTCTCTTTATTAATATGAGATAGCAAATATTTTTTCCTGTTTATTAAATCATATGAAAGGTTAATTATGGTTAGCGACTGTGGGTAGAAAACAATTCTTGGAAGATGCTTTTGTAACAACAGGTTGGCAGTATGCAGAAGCCATCTGCTTCCTGCAAATGTTAAGGTACAATCTCAAACTTGTGAGGTTAAAAATTACAGATTGCCGAGTAGTTTGGTAGAAGGAAAATCCATGTTGTGTTGATGTAAAGTTGCTCAGTCTCCTTGACACACAGCCTGGAAGGAATGCCAAGTTCCCTAAAGGACAGTATTTGGCTGGAGAGGACCCTCGCTAGGGGTATTCTGTACTCACACTGGCTGTCTACAAAGCTAATTAAGCCTTTTTTGTACTGTGATTCATCTTTTTTAATACAGAAATTGGTTTCAAATCCTGACCCGTGAAGAGGAGCGGATTGTGGATATAATATTTTGCTTTCAAGGGGGGAATTCAGCTTCTTCCACGAAGGAGAATAAAACTTTGCCAACATTATCAAGGTGAAGCGCTCCTGAAACTACGTGTAGGCTTAACTGCGACTGCAAACTCTTCATGGTAAGGACTATCTGTTTGAAAAGGAAGAGCTATTGCTCTCATTTTATATAGTGAGCTGGGCAGAAAGATATGATTTGTCCAAGAGCACACAGGGAGGTTGTGGCTAATGGAATTAAACCCAGATTTTTCAGATCACGATGAAGTGCCTTAACCACAAAACCATTCTTCCTCTCTGCGGGTCGGCTACTGTAACTTCAGCATTTGGGATGGGTTTTCAAATGTGTTTATCTTCTTCCAAGGATCAAGTTTAATTCTGCTAAATTTTCCACTTCCATGGAAAACATCACCCACTTTTTAGGTGAAGCTCTAGAGATAACGTTGCCTCACTTCACCTGCTCCCTAGCAATGAAACACAAGTTGAACCACCTGTAAGAGGAGGGATGGGGAACTGCCATCACCAGGTCTTTCCCCTTCACTTTTCAGCCAAACGGGGAGAAACTCTTCGTTTTGTTTTTTTTCCCGAGACTCTGATCTGGAGCGTTGTCATGCAACCTTCAGCCCCTTTCCTGCTTTCCTAATTTACTCACAACCCCTCCCCATGCTCGGCTGCTGGCTGGCTGCTAAAAGGCTGCTGAGTAAAAGGGCTCATTTCCAAATGTTGCCAGCAATGGAGTCACCAACTTGTTTACTGTGCAATAAAATGATCCAGGACCTCATTTCTAGTGCCTCTACCCAGAGCAATTTTGTCAAGGCTATGCATGTGTACAGGGGTCTCTCCTCCAACGCTGCCTTATTTTTTAACAGACACTATCCAGCTAGACAACTTCTTATTTAAAGCACCCTGTAAAGTGGTTTTATCTTCTCCCTTTGCACTGGAGCTGGTGATCCACTCCATTATCGACACCTCCTGCCAAGAACAGTGGCCTGCCATTAAAAGCCTTGCGGGTGGAGGAGAAAAGGGCTGACCCCTTGGGCAATGCTGCAGATCACCTTGCCATTAACTCCCAGTCTTTTATTGCAGCCTTGCTCCCCAGTGCTCGCAGCATCACTGCCCTTACCAGGATCATGAGCAGCAGGACCTGCACTAATCTGCATCTTCCCCTTCTGCTGCCATCAGTGCTGCTGTCTCACTGCATGCACCAGCCTGAGCACGGGGCTTCTGGTGGGCTGCACTTGATGGGATCTTCTATTTCTGGGCTGGAACCACTGATGGGAAAGAAGGAGCCAGCTCTGTTCATCTGCCTGTCATTTTGTCAGCAGGCCTGGACCTTTCTTTTTTTAATTCCTACTCTGATCTCTTCAAGGAAATTGAAGATCGTTATGGGTAATACCAGTAACGCTTTTATCAGGCTTCCCGGAGTGCCCTGTGGGAGTTGGCTGCATGTGAGGGACTGAGGCACATAGAAATTAGGGATGAGATTTTTCAATCTCACCAAAGGGATTTGGATGCCCAGCATCCATTAAAATGAGTAACAATTCCTGTCCCGCCCTAAATGGCCGGAGCCCAAATTGCTCCACGAGATGGAAACCATCTTGGTTAATGCATGGACACTTAAGCCCTCAGCATCTGACTTCACTTATATTTTATTTCCAGCAAACTTAGTTGATCATGTCCAATGACACACTTGTACACCCCCCCCCCCCCCATTACCCGCTC